CAAGGCCAACCTGGTCTACATAGTTCAAGGCCAACCTGGTCTACATAGTTCAAGGCCAACCTGGTCTACATAGTGAGTTCCAGGCCTGCTAGGGATACAGTGAGACCCTGTCTCAAAACAAAACAACAACAGAGAGAGAGAGAGAGAGAGAGAGAGAGAGAGAGAGAGAGAGAGAGAGACTAAACGAACCAGAGAATCTCTCTTAAGTCCTCACAGGTAGCACTTATGGAATCTCAGCTGACTTTTAAAATAAACAAACAAAAGTTATATATGGCCTTGGGGCTGGAGAGATGGCTCAGCAATGGAGAGCCCTGGTTGCTCTTCCAGAGGACCAGGGTTCAATTCCCAGCACCCATATGGCAGCTCACAACTGTCTGTAACTCCAGGATCCCTCACACAGACGGACATAGAGGTAAAACACCAATAAAGAAAAAGTTACATATGGCCATCTATGTGGTATTAAATACCAAACAGGAAGATATAACCCCAAACATGATTCTAAACTTAATTCTACCAGCTTTGGCCGACTTAATAGGGGCCATCTATCAAATTCTAGAAAATTACTAACTAGAATCACTTGTCTAGGATTAAACCCAATTTTCCAGAAAACACTCAAAATGAGAAGCAAGAAAAACCTAATGGAACAATAAAGTAATTGAGTACTTGCGTTATTTCCTCAAAAGGGACCCCAAAGATCAAATGCAGATAAATGAATCTATGGTATCATACCCATAGCCCCCAGCTATTAAAATTATTCTCGTGGGACAGGTCACAGCAATGTTCTCTAAGATGCTACTTAGTGCACAGGAGAGACAGTTCAGGGGCTGAGAGCACTGGATTTGATTCCCAGCACCCACATTAGTGGCTCACAGCCATCCAGTTCCAAGGGACCCTGTGTGGCCTCCATGGGCACAAGATACACACACATGGTGCACAGATACACATGCAGGCAAAATACTCATACACATAAAAATTAAATGAGTAAAATAAATTGATTGGATTTGTTTCTTCCAGAATTCAACAATTTGTTGTTCAATGGAAACATTGCCCATCATTCCAAGACATTCTAAGGTACGGTGCCCTACATTGGATAGTGTGATTTTAGTTTGTTTTGTCTTTGGTCCTTGCTCATAATTTCAAATGATGCTTACTAAGGGATACCAACCCCTGACTTCCTACTCAGAGCTTCTGGATCACCAGAAATCCCCGACTCTGGAAACTATATGTACCACCTCTCCTTAGCATAAATTCCAATGAGGGACACTTCCAACATACATTTCTGTCCTACTGGAAATAGCCATAGTGGTGACTGCCCCCTTACCCTATAAGTTGAATCTGAAAAACCTTGAATATGAGTAATGTTATGATAAAAGCAAATGTGAATTAAAATATTAGGATTAGCTGTGTGGTGGTGGTGGTGGTGGCGGCGGCGGCGGCGGCGGCGGCTGTGGCAGTGGCGCACGCCTTTAATCCCAGCACTTGGGAGGCAGAGGCAGGCAGATCTCTGTGAGTTTGAGGCTTCCCGGTCTAGCTCCAGGTGAGCTAGGACTGTTATACAGAGAAATCTTGTCTCAGAAAAAAAATGTTAGGGTTAAAACAGATCAGAGACTGAAAGGGCAGGGCCCTGAAGCTGATACAATAGCCTAGCTAACCAGAAAAGATAAAGGAGGAGGCACTAACAATAACAAAGCCTTGGCAGAAAACTCAGTCTTGCTTTAATCAATCTACCTTTTGTCTTCATGCTAATTATAGTTCTAAGGTTTGTTGTTGTTTTTTTTTTCCCAAAGGTGCTGGAGAGGTGGCTTAGCAGTTAAGAGCACTTGCTGCTCTTCCAGAGGAACTGGGTTCCCAGCACACATATCAGGCAGCTCACAACCTCTATAATGCCAGTGTCGGGGATCTGATGCCCTCTTCTGGCCTCTGTGGGTACTGCATGCATGTGAAGCACACACTTACATGCAGACAAACACTCACATATAAAAGACTAGAGTTCAATTCCTGGCAACTACATCAGGTGGCCCACAACCACTTGTAACTCCAACTTTAGGGGATCCAATCCAACTCCTCTGGGCTACACACACACACACACACACACACACACACACACACACACACACACTAGTAAAAACTAAAAAAAAAAAAACTTTTAAAAATGGTTATGAAACAACCTAATAAATATTTTTTTAAAGTTTTATCCCATTAACCTTTTTTTTTTTTTAACATTTATTTGTTATGTATACAATGTTCTGCCTGCACGTATGCCTGCGTGCCAGAAGAGGGCACCAGATCTCATCTTTGGTTGTGATCCATTCTGTGGTTGCTGGGAATTGAACTCAGGACCTCTGGAAGAGCAGCCAGTGCTTTTAACCTCTGAGCCATCTCTCCAGCCCATGAGCCATCTCTCCAGCCTGATAATTTTTAATGTTCTATAACAAAACATGAATAATTTAAGGGCTGAATACAATATAAATTACATTAGTAAATTGTCATGTGCTTACCAAGAAGGGGGCTCTGGGATTAAGGAAGACCCTCTTCTCCTGGACTCCAGCATGTTTACTTCAAATGTCCTCCCAGACTCTGTCAGGCAGGCTGGACCACTAACTCTGTGGCAGAGAGAAAGGAAAGTAGCTAGGGGTATTTGCTAAAGGCCACAGAAACATGAAGTAGGAATTCAGCTGACTATGGCAAAGCTATTTATTACCTGGAAGAGTCAAGAATTTTTCCAGAGGAAGCTGAGGCTTGGTATTATTTAGCTTTTTAATATATCAGCTGTTTCCTGTTATGAATTTCATGTACACTATCATAGCTTCCCCAATTGATTTTTTTCCTAAGAACTTCTGAACAGTTTGGAGTGATCATTCCTTGGGCATATACAATGAAGGTATTCAGATACAGCCACACAGGCAAGGCTTCCTGCTTCCAGCCTTTTCAGCATTAGAATCAGATGTCTGCTTTCTGCAATTATCTCCTTTAGCAAGCATCCAAAGCCAGGGCCAGCTCCAGACAAAAACATTTTATCTGAGATACCTAGCTAACATCCAAGGACAAACAGCAGACAGAATAAGCTTTCCAGACCACCTGCTGGTCTCCTGAATTAAGGTAACCGTCCATACAGAGACACCACCTAGGCCAAGTGGACAAGGCAGATGTTAGGTACATAGCTCTGCTTCTTGTGCAAATTAAGCTCAGACCATCCTTTCTTCCTCTGGCCAAATGGCACCTCCTGAGTTCCCCTCCAACAATTAGCTCGGAACAAAAGGGCTTTTTTCTTACACCGTGCATTCAAGCTAGGACGCAGGTTTCCTAGCCCCAGAGCAGACTGACCCCATAGACCAGAAAGTGGAGGGGCAGAGATTTGCTGACTCTAGGTGTGTGGAGACCGGTCATGGAAGAGGAGAGGAAGGAACAAAGATGGAGACCGGAACAAAGACGAAGATGAGAACGAGATGGAAAGAACTTAGAACAGGTGGAGAAGGGCAGAGAGGAGCTAAGTATGAGAACAGAATTGAAGCTGTGTAGATAGAATTTTGTCTTAGAAGAATAAGGTGACTGGACTAAAGAGTTCATGTAAGTAGATTCATTTGATGTCCCTCAGGTTAGTATCCCTGCTGCTTATAGAGTCTTCCCCAGGACTCTGGGAGCAATCTCCTCAGGGCAGGCACCTGGGGGGTTTCCACAGGTATTGAAAACATCACACCCCTGATAACAGCTAGAAGGAAAATCATTTCTGGCAGGTATGACTACTGTTTATTTCTTGGTATTAAACTGTCTGTATGAGAACAGGAAGCCAGCTTTCCATGGTGAGAACTCTGCTCTGCCCAGGACTCTGGCATGACTGATGTTGTAAGTACCCATTTTGATGATGTCTTATGGTCTATCTACTGCTTCCATGTGCTTTGTGCTATTTTTTTCTTGTACTTTTGCTTGCTATGAAATTAATACACTCACTCATTCAAAGAAGAAAGTGTGACCGTTGTAGTTCATCCTCCATACAGAACACAGGGTAGTGTCAGTCTCACAGAATCTGCCCTCTCTGATTCGTATGGAATGCTTTGAGGAGGATTAGGTAGAACTCCCAGGTGAAGCCACGTCACTAGACCCTCTTTTCTGTTGCTGATTTAGTCTTACTGTAGATTTATCTAGATTTTCTGATTCTTCATGATTAAGACACAACAGCTTTTGTGTTCTTGGAATTTTCTTATTTCATCCAAGTTAGCCAATTTTTTAGCATAAAGTTTTATGCTATTCTCTTTTTTTTAAATCCTATTTTATTGTCTTACATGTTTGTATGTGTGTGTGTGTTCATGTGGGTGCAGAAGAGGCAGTGGGATCCCCTGGAGCTGGAGTTACAGGTGAGTGTGAGCAGCCTGATGTGGGTGCTGGAAACCACACTCCAGTCCTCTGAAAAAAGCAACCAGTGCTCTCAACACTGGGCGTCCCTCCAGCCAAGTGCTCCCTTGCAGTCCTTCTGTATTTTTGCTGAATTGGCTGTAATCTTCTGCACTGAACAAGTTTTGAAGCAGGCATATTTGGCTAGGCTCTGGAGAGACACCTCTGGGTGACTGCAGCCTCACCAAGCTTTGTCTGATGTGTTTAAAATAGAATTTAAAAATTAAATTTGGGTATCTCCCAGTTTTCCAGAACTACATTAACAGTACATACAAATTTACGTCATCTCCACATCACATTCAGTGAAGGGCCTTAGGGGAAGGCTTATCGGCTCCCAGGCATGACTGTACCCTGTCTGCCTCAGCTCTGTCTGTGTTGATCCTGGAAACAGGAGCTGCTCACAGAAGTGAACTTCCCCTCTGGACTGCTTTGTAGCTCACACTCACACTCAGGCCTGGAGATGGCCCACCCCCTTCACGTCGAGGTGTGGTGTCCACACAATGTGGTCCACACAGAGTGCCAATGTCAGGGACACTGTTTGGGGTTTGCATATGTATAAACCTTTGTGACCATTAGTAGATCAAAACAAACCATTCCTCTCTCCTCAGAAGCAGCCTTTATGTGTAGAAGACAGGAGCAGATTCCAGGTCTCACAGCCACATGGAACAGGAAGTGTGGTATAAGCTATGTTGCTGTGGGATGTTCTGTATGGCAAATGTGTTGCTCTGATTGGTTAGTAAATAAAACACTGATTGGCCAGTAGTCAGGCAGGAGGAAGTACAGGTGGGACAAGGAGGAGAATTCTGGGAAATGGAAGGTTGAGTCAGAGACACTGCCAGCTGCCACCATGACAAGCCACATATGAAGATGCTGGTAAGCCACGAGCCACATGGCAAGGTATAGATTTATAGAAATGGGTTAATTTAAGCTATAAGAACAGTTAGCAAGAAGCCTGCCACGGCCATACAGTTTGTAAGCAATATAAGTCTCTGTGTGTTTACTTGGTTGGGTCTGAGCAGCTGTGGGACTGGCGGGTGACAGAGATTTGTCCTGACTGTGGGAAAGGCAGGAAAACTCCAGCTACACTATGTGCTTTCATGTAGGAGTGTTGACTGGAAGAGTCCTCCAGGAATTGTCCTGACTCTCTTAGGAGTGGTACCAATGTCCTTAAGTTGAGCACCCCCTACACACACACACACACACACACACACACACACACACACACACACACACACACAATCCAAAGATGAAGAGGTGAAAGTCCCTGATTTCTGAAGGAGACACTGCTGCTCTAGTCCAGCCAAAGACCTCTTCTGTGATATGAAGGTGTCCCCTCCAAAAGTCACCTTAGACACTGTCCCCTGTGCACCAGTGCTGGGCTCTTTGGATGGTGCTCAGCAGAGCCCATGTGGGTTAAACTGTCACAAATAAGGGTTTGTGGAAGAGTCTGTGCTCCACCACACAGACATGGAATACATCGCATAGAATGCTCCTTCCTCAGGGAGTATGATGCAAGGCACCAGCTAGAAGAAAGGCGCCCGGCTCTAACCTGCCTCAAGCTTCTACCTTCCAGAGCTGTGAGGAACTCATCTCTGTTCACAACATACTATCCATGTGTGGTCTGAAGTAACAACACCAAGTGGACCAGTCCCCCATGCTGTGGATATCACTCTATATAAATAAAACACTGATGGCCAATGATCAGACAGGAAGTATAGGCGGAACAAGGAGAGAGGAGAATTGGGGAAACAGGAAGAAGGGGAGAGACACTGCAGCCACTGCCAGGACAAGCAGCATGTGAAGACGCCAGTAAGCCACCAGCCACGTGGCAAGGTATAGATTTATAAAAATGGGTTAATTTAAGATATAGGAACAGTTAGCAAGAAGCCTGCCATGGCCATACAGTTTATAAGTAATATAAGCATCTGAGTGATTATTTTATAAGTGGATTGTGGGACTGCGGGGCTTGGGGAACCTGGAGAGAAGCCCTTCAGTAACAAATGGCGCCCAACAGCTCGAGTTTCCACCTTAAACCTGAAAATATTTAATAACCAATTCTAAACAGAGCCAAAACCAGGTTCCTGCTTCATGTCTCATACAGGCAGCTAGATACCACAAAACACAGGTTTGAACTACTGGCAGGTTCCTGGCGTTTGCATTTGACCGGCAGTATGGCAGGAATGAGGCGTCTGCCAGGGGCACATTACGCTGTGTGGTAGATTTAGTCTTTACTAGTATTAAAAAAAAAAAAAAAAAAAAAAAAAAAAAGGTTTCTGGTCTACACGCTGCTTTGATAAAAGCTTAGCCCCACTATTTCTGAGACTTGATGACTCACAAAACTGGTGGAAAACGCCATGTTGGTAAGCTGAAATGGGCGGAGCCAACAGCCACAGCGCCGTTTCAGTCTTAGAATGCTGCAGTTTAAAGCAATAGGCTCAAGGTAATATAAAAAATAAGCCACATAAAGATGGCTATCACACAGAGAATCTGGATTATGTTCTCTTTGATATTCGTTGTGGGTGCCATGGGCCCTGGCCCCCGACTGGGAGTGGCTGCGGCCTTGCTTGCTTGACCTTGATCAGATGTCCTCCCTATTCAGATTCCCTGCCGGTATCCACCCTTCTGAATGCTTAAGGGAAGTTCCTTGTTGTGTATCCTGCATTTTGGGCGTTAACTACTTAGATGCAAGATTGTAGAACATTGGGTCTGGAATGTAGACCATTGACAGCGAACTTCTGCCCTCCAGGGGTTCCTCCATTTGTGCTGTAAGCCTGTATGTATTTAAGGTTTCTTCCCTCTTTCAATAAACGGCATTCGACATCCAATCGTACGAATGACTCGCTGTCTCTTGTCTCTATTTTTTAATCCGCAGCCCTTCGCTCGGACATGGTGGACGGTTATCGGTAATGCGGGCATTACCGCTACAATTCGTAACTGAAGAAAAACATTTGATTGCAAAAGCTGTTGAGCTATGCCAAAATGTATATTTTAAAAGTACCTTGACTTCAAAATTTAGATTTAAGGATATGTTGCTTTGGAAAAGAGATTCTGCTTTTGTTTCCACAGAAAGCCAGAGGCTGTGGATTTGTTCCAGATTAAGATACATCAGGTTTCACCAGCCAAGACCCTCTGAAAGGTCTCTGATGACACCATGGCCCAGATGATCCAACATCCAGAGTGGTTTCAAGGC